ATTCTATGGCACAAAGTAAGAAAAAAATGTTATGTAAACATAGGTCACATAGAGCTTTATTAAGAAGTTATAACAAAAATTCAGAATAGGAATAGTAATCAGCTTGCTGTTACTGCGAGCATTGGCTTGAATAGATCAGCATATGCCGTGTGTTTATGTAAGCTGTGTTTATTAATACATTTCGAAATGTATTAATAACCGTTGTTGACAATACATGATTGATATCGATCGAAGATTTTTTTTATTTCTTATTTTTTTATTTTTTAGTTGATTACTATTCCTATTCTGAATTTTTGTTATAACTTCTTAATAAAGCTCTATATGACCTATGTTTTCATAACATTTTTTTCTTACTTTGTGCTATAGAATATACTGACAAAGTTTGAACATTAAAACCTGGGACACCCTGTATAAAATCATCGAATAAATTGTACGATATTTCGAATATTTCGACGGAATGAAGCGAACGAAGAAAAAAAGGCACAAGAAACTATACATAGTGCCTGGTTTGCGCCTCGTTTTTACAATTGTTGACAATCGGCAACCATAGAAATGAGCCGCGGGGCTCGAATAATCGCACCTCCTTTTCCTAAGTAGTCCATTTTTGTTAACAAGCTGAAGGAAAATTAGGGAGAATTTACCGTATTCTCGTCGTCGCTTGCATTTAACCGCTGGGAGACGCGATGTTGCACTAGGGGAAAGAAATTTTCGAAACTTTCGCTGTCGCCCGAAGAAGGAACTGCGGATGTAGGCGACGATCATGATCGTCCTCGGCGGATCGACAGAACTGGTTGAAAAATGACATATTCGTCCGTGGAATCGGGTCCGGCTCGGCGGGGTGTCCCGGATCGTGTCGCGCCGCAAGAAAGTCGCGGCAATCAAAGTTCCAATCGGTGGTTAATCAGCGATCCCCGAAGGAAACGAGCATAGTTCCCGATCGGTCGCGCGCCAGAAGCGTAGCCGGGACACATGGAAACGCGCGTTCCTGGGATTCCTTCCGCGGCCCGGTTTATTACATAAGAATCGCGCGCACAACGCTCGTAACCGTTACGTCGCGCAGTGAAAATCCTCCGCGATGTCGCGCAAACAAAGTCCCGGCAATTTCTATTAGTTTCCCCGTTGCGCGTAACACCCGGGCCCTCGGCCGATCAACACGATCGATCCGCACGATCGATCTCGATCCCGCGTCCTTCTGCCAAACCGTTATTTCCCCGATGCGGATCGAAGTCGATAGGCGAAATAAAATACACCGTGGCTATTAGAACGCGAATATCGCGTGCTGATCATCTGCGCGATTACTTTGTTCTTTATTTAATGGCCGGCATGCGTGCCTTTTCTTTTTTTCATTACGTTCGATCGACGATCGATCGAGTGTTAACCCTTAGCACTCGGAAGATTTTTTTTTTTTTATATAAGCACCTACCAGAGCAAGTCGGAGCAAATTTTGCCAAAATTTCGATTCTGCTGTACGAAGTCGAATTGAAAGAGAAATCATTGCAGTGCTGTGAACATTTTATAGGGATTAACGAGTGAAAGATTTTCTGATGATTATCTCGAAAAATTTATCAATAGATTTAGGATTTGAATGGCAGACTGAGATGTCGCTTTGTGTAACACAATCGAATCGTTCCTCTTGGGACTGTTAAAAATAATAAATGTTAAATAATCTTGTTAAATAATGTTAATACAGGTTGTATAATTTTTTTAAAGATTTTTCTTGAGGTATGACGAGATTAAAGTAGAATTTTATAGGACATTGTTTCAGTTTTATTTTACAAAATATACATTGTCTTCTTTTATGCTGAAAGAGACGTGTTTCTTCTAATTGAACAGACGATTAAATATTGCATGTCTGCTTAGGGAAGCTTCATGAAAAATTAATGTAGGAAACATGAAATAATAGTTTCCTGCATTTCTGATAACGCTCTTTAGCTTGAGAGTGATTCAATTTCGTGAAGGAACGTTTTGCTGCGGAACGCGAAGGGTTAACCGCGATTTGACTAAATTGTCTGATCGTGGTTGTCCGTATCTACTTACCGCAAGCGGGCGCCACGCTTTTAGCTCGATATATTCGCCTTTCTGTGGTTGTAGTAGTAGCTTCAAAGCACACCCTGCCTTTCCAAGGATCGAAATTCCAAAGTCAAGTTATCATTTACTCGCATTAATCGGTCCGAACATCGTACTATCCTGCTCAAAAATGATTATTATGAAACAAATTCATGTACTTACGAATGCTGGAAATTCTCATCTCCAGTGCCTTCGGTTCTCTCTCTGTTAACCCTTTGCAATCGAAACCATTCCTAATCAATTTAATTTAACTCAACTTAATTTAATTTAATTTATATACCTATATACTCATTTTTTACAAAAACAAATCACATTTAAACTGACAGGGAAGGCAAAAGCAGATTAGGCAAAAGTACAAAAATATCCTTGGTAAAGAAAACAAAAATAATTACAGCCACTGATTATTAACAACTGCGATCGTATCTCCTCTTCCCAAGTAATTGATTTCTGTTTCGAACCCGCGAAATAATTTGGGAGAATTTAGTGTACAACCGAATTCCGGCAGGATCGCCGGCATTCCCAGGCGCAAATCAGCCTTCTAATTGGATCAGCGTCGTCGATTCCCGGAGTCGGCATCGGAGGCGCGACTAGAGTCTATCGGCGGTCATGCAATGAATTCAGCGTAACCGGGGGAATCCGCGTTTAAATTCGTCAGGGCCTGCGGGGATCTTTACGACGTCGGACGTCGCAAGAGTTTACCGCCCTTGGTTCTATCGCAAACGCGCCGCAGCACCGCGGCGCAGTAAATACCGGTATCTGGTGTCGTAAAGTTCAGCATCGGTTTTCCTCTGGCAGGGAGGAAGCCGGTGGGGGGGGGGAGAGGGGCCCGCGAAAGGAAATGCGGGGGAAAGGGTCGTAGGGAAAGAAGGAGAGGTTGTCGGAGGGTTAGAGGTACCTAGGCGCTCAGGGAAACGAGGAAAGGAGGAGGTCGAGGACGTGGACGAGGAGAACGGCGCGCGGGGAGGAGGCTGAAGAAGCGGAGGACGGCGAGAGAGGGCGAGAGAGGGCAGGAGAGGGCAGAGAAGGAGAGGACCAGGGCAGCCGCCTAGCCTTGTAATTTATGTCCCGAGCTTGCCGCGGCCGCGTTGACAGTTGAAACACGGCGGCTCCTCGGATTGGTCGGCATCGGGCGCCTTATAGGGTCGCGCGCATGCGCGATACACCGACTTGCGACATCCATCAGAGGCGACCGGCTACTGCCGTCACCGTGGCCACCGACTCTTTATCTTTCTCCTTTTCCCTAGCCCCCGTCGCGTCGTAGCTGCCCTTTGCCGATGTCAACCGAGCCGTAATCCGCTGTCACTTCGGCTACCGTGCTCTCCGCCGCGGCGAGTCGAGTCGAGCCGTCTCTTCCAGGTTGTTGTCCTATTTCGCCTATTCCGCGCGCTCGGAATAGCCACCGCGAAGCTGTCCCCGCGACCATGTCCTTTCAGGCTTCTCCGCCTCCGTGGAAAGTGTCTTCGCCATGCTCGGGCCCCGTTCCTCGGACTTTTGCCTCCGCCGCGCACTTTTGCCGCGAACCCTTCCTACTCCTTCTCCTCCTCCTCCTCCTCGCTGGAACCTCCTGCTGCCGGTTTTTTGGCGTCGCGGCAGCGTCTTCGCCTAGCCTTTGTTCCCCCCCGCGCTCCTCCGAACCTCCTTTAATTGCATCCTCCTCGATCACTTTCACCGCGAGTTTCTCTTTGAACAACGATTCCGCGCCGGCGACTTTTTCCGCGGATCGACACCGTTCCCGGACTTCTTCCAGGCACCGCCTATCGGCGCTCGTTTCGCGTTTAAGGACAGGCTTCGATCCGATCGATCGATCCTCTTCTTCTTAGCGCTGGCGACTTTAGGCTGTGGTTGTTCGCTGCGGACGTTTTACGGCTGTGGATGAAAATGTAGATCCTGTTAGCGTACTGGTATTAAAGCTCGCAGGGCGGTGGCTAGGTCAATCTTGACCCGGAGCACTTAAATCGTTTACTTCACAGTACGCCGACGAAGTTGGGTTTGTTTTCATCCGAACTGTTTACTCGGAGGCTTGTCAATGGCCGAGTCTGCAATCAAATGTTTAGTAAAATTAGCGTACTCGTTGCTTCTTTTTTATCCATTCACCATGATATAGCATCGTTTTTTAGAGAGAGAGAGGGAGAGAGAGAAAAGTCACTGAAAACATGCAAAACATACCTAATAAATTTAGATATAAATCTGCCGAGAAATGGCATTTTTGGCGTTTTTATGCGTAAATAAAGAAATCTTGTTTTGAGCGGTTTGGGTGCTCGGATTACGGTTACCGGATTATCTTAGCCTAGCCTATTCAAATCGCCACCTAATTAGGTGCACGAGGTGCGTACCTTCAAAAATATATTACCCAATTTTCTCTCGGCGATTGAGTGTAATACAATTTGCTGTCGAATTAGAAACAACGGGAATACTAATAAGCGTGCAAGAAATATCTCGAAAAATATACGTTCCGAAAAATTGCTGAACAAAAGCTCGGAATTGTTACGAACATCCTTAATAGTACAGTCGCGAAAATGGTCCGCGCCGTTCGAGGGTTAACGCGTCCAGAGACGAGATTATTAGGGATGAGTCTCGGATTCGTCCTGTCATCTCGGCGGGTTCGACAGGTCCGAAAGGCGGAGGGTGACTTTGAAGCGGGCCCATTGGAAGATCATCCGAGCAGGTCACAAAACATGTAGTTAGACGCACTCGAGCCGATCGGCGGCGATTACTCAGCGATTCGAACGGAGCCCTGCCTTCGGCTCTCGCAACGAGCGCTCCGTTTTCGTCGGCTTCGGGTCAGCCTACGGGGTTATGCAACAATTGTTCCGAACGGTAGAGGGAGGACGATCGGGTCGGTTGGGCAGCGACGCGACGCGTCCATCGAAAACCAACTGGAAAAGGAGTTTCTAAAGTCCTCGGACTCGGTGTTTGTTCCAGCAGCCGGCCAGCTCGCAGGAGCGTGGCAGCGGCTTGGCTGTGGGGCGTCAAGGGGGGCCCGGCAGCGCGGGGGGGCCCGGAGCAGTGGACCAGGCGAGGGACCTAAGTCCCTGCCTCCCCGCGTCCATGGGCGACGCTGCACGACCCACCACCTTACCGTGCAGTCCTCCTGCCGCCCACCATCACGGGCCCCATCATACACCCCTGCATCAGACCCACTGTGGCACGAACAACAACTGCTACGACGGACCCACCACCCCCTACGACTCCAGGGACTACGACTCTCCTGGAGGTTAGAAACGTTTCAACTAACTTCTGATTTTATAACGCCGGTTTGGATCGCGTCGGATAGTCGTCTCCGTGAAACATTGGCATCGCCAGACCGTTCGTGCGGTTTTCGACGATTCTTAAACGCGTTCCGGGCCGGACCGATTTTTGGTTACTTTGCGAGTACGTCACACGCTATTAGGATTTTCGAAAAAGATGTGTATTGTTTAAAATGAAGGGGAGACCAGGGCAAAGCAAGTCCCGTAAAGTTCGGAGAAGGAGATCAAATGTTTTCTTTGATAAAAGAATACTGAAACAAAGTTAATTTATAGTTGAATATCTTCTCTATACAGGATGTCCCAAAATTATGGTACTTCTGGGAAATAAAGGATTCCAGTGGTTATTTGAAGTAACTTTTTTCTTAACGCAATTGCAATCCTTGGCTTTGTTTACGAGTTATTAAGGAAAAACACTGACCAATAAGAGATGAGCTCGACTGTCTCGTGTCGGCTGATCTCGCCTCTCATTGGTCAATGCTTGTCCTTAATAACTTGTAAACAAAGCTGCAGATTGCATTTTCGCATGAGGAAAAATTTACTTCAAATGACGTCAGGAATTTCTCATTTCCCGGAGGTACCATAATTTTGGAACCCTCTGTGTAATTCCAAAGCAACACATTTGAAAATAACCTGAAAGTAGTTTCAAAACTGCATACACAGAAACGAAGTAATTAGCTCTGTTTGCCTCGTACATGCGTCCATGGGGTAAAAAGATTATATTGCCATATATGAAGTCTCGCTATGGGGCAATAACAATCTGGAACGAAAACAGAATATAAAATTAGAAATTAATCAAATCAATTAATTATATAGAATTGTTAAACACGCGTTCATCAGTAAACAAGAATACCACTTTGAAACGTAGTTACGTTTAATTATATTTCTCGAGGTTGACGAACCTTTGGTTAAAAAATGTCCAACTTTTAGGTTAGTTTTAGGTCAAGTCGCCGCGCTCTACGTTCGCGCATTTTTCGTTTGCTCTCCAACGCGGCTCAGTTCGCCCCGAATAACATGTTTATCGTTAATCGAAACAAGTAAAATTGCTTTTGCTTGTTAAAAACCGCACGAACTTCCTGGCCGACGAAATAAACCCAAAAGTTGTTTAAGAGAAAATTGATTCACGGAAGTGCATCGAGTCCCACGGAATTAATTCTACGTGCCGTGGAATTAGAACGTTGCCTTTGCTACCTTCACCAGTTAGTATCCGATCGAACGAATCATAATTACCGATGTATTCGACGTTTAAAACGGTCCATTAACCGACTTCGCAAATAGAGATCTGCAGACTATCAAGATTTCCGACGAACTCGACTTCACGATCGGAATAATTCCAATGTGGTGAAATCGGGGCTGGATAAAAATCGATTTTTAAAATAGTAACTAGAGTATAAATATTTTGATCATCTCATGCAATAGAAGATTTGACAAATAAACTTTTCTTGATATAATATTTACATATGGAAAAATATCTCTGCAAATATATTTAATTACGTAATATCTACATGTGACTAATGTTACAAAAAAGCTTTATTTGCCAAATTCTGTATTACATGAGAAGATCGAAATATATATAGTATATATATTACAATAGAGCCTCCATTAAACGAACTGGATTTTCCTATCTTCTATTCTATAGATTTTATTTTATATTTTCCTATCTTTATCATATAGATTTTTGATTATTCCAAGTACAGTAAATTCTCCCTAATTGACGCACAGATTGAACAAAAGAAAATGGACAATTTAAGAAGAGAAGATATGATTATACGAGCCTTGCGGCTCGTTTTTATAGTTACCGATTGTCAATAAATAGTCAATTCCCGATTGTCAAAATTGCATAAAAACGAGCCGCAAGACTCTTCCCAAATGGTCCATTTTTGTGCGCAATCTGAGCGTCAATTAGGTAGAATTTACTATAATAACAGCGAAACCATAAAAGGACCACGATTACACCTCGGCCAATCATCTCATCCTGTTGCATCGATAATTAATCGGAAACAAAAACAATTTGACCATCAACTTCGAATTCGCATAATCTCGGTCCTACTGTACTTAAAAAATCGATTTCGCCCCAGCCCCGGGCGAAATTCGTGGGACGCTAGAGGCACGTCGAACCGGTCGAAATGGAATTGTATTAAGCAAGGCGGCTATCTAGAGCGTGTTAACATCGTTGGCCCGATATAAATTGCGTCCGAGGCGGACGGTAGGACGTCGAGGTGAATGCAATTGATCGTTTGTGTGCCGAGCAGGTGGACAGGAGTACAGGAACAACAACAGCAGCTTCGAGAACCCCAGCGACCTGAGCATGCCGCCCCAAACCGCCCACCACCACCACCATCACCACCACCACCACCACCACTCCCATCTGCACCCGCAGACTCACTCGCAAGAACAGCAGACCTCGGAGCATTTGCACGCTATCCCGAAGCTGGAGCCACCACCCACCCCGCCGGCGCAGTCCGAGGACGTTCCGGGGGTGGTTTGCGCCGGATGCGGCCTCCGGATATCCGACAGGTTCTACCTGCAGGCGGTTGACAGGAGGTGGCACGCCGCCTGTCTCCAGTGCTCGCACTGCCGTCAGGGCCTGGACGGCGAGGTTACCTGTTTCAGCAGGGACGGAAACATTTACTGCAAGAAGGACTACTATCGGTGAGTCGGCGTCATGTTTGCTTGTTTGCTCGCTGGCACAGCGAGGCCTTGATTAATTGCGATCGTTGATCTGTGAACCGAAAACATTAGCACAATGCTGATCGGCGGACGCCGTTGCCACCGACAAGATTTATGCGTCCTGCGCGCTCGCGAGCCCCCCTTTTTACTCCTGTCCGGTTTGACGTTTAGTTAATCATCTTGACGGCCTACCTCTATCATCTAATGCCGGGGCCGACGGCGCCGTAGTATCAGTTTCTAAACGTTTCGTACGAATTCCGGTGAAATATCGTAGCCGCGTTCCCGGCGATTTTTCAGCCGGCCGGCTCGAGAATTTTAATGAATTTCGTTGCAGTTTCTACACGCTTCCAATTTGAACCGGTCCGACTTGTGACCGGAGATCTTCGCCGTATGGAAACTCGAAATGTACTGGCAACGATGCAACAACGTTGCCGGACTTTTATCCGTCGCGATATTTTTCACCCGGGGAAATTATTATTAATGCGATATTTGGGTTACAATGCGTTTCGTGACAAGCGGGACAGTTTATGTGTGAGTGATATTTTCATTAATCCAAACCGAAGTAGTTCAATTTTGCTGGATCACAAGATATTATTTATTAAGTCAGAATTCTGGAAGAGCATTTTCAAGCAATTTTCGAGTAATTTTTACGGAAAATATTGCAGTTTTGGCAGAAAATATACGACGGTAGTATAATTAATATAATATAACATTAATGATTTAAAAATAGCGATTTTAACACTAGATTTACGCAGCACAAAAAGAAGCTGTTTTATATTAGTTTATAAAAGTAATAATAGTTTTAAAGATACATTTATGAATAATTTATTCAATTTATACGTTACTTACGGCAATTGTTACAATAACACTTGTTAAAAATCAGAATAAATAGATACATTTATGTATCTTTACGATACGAATAATCTTAAATTAAAAAATTAGTGACCCGTCATCCTGACGAGTTCCGTAAATCTAGTGTTAAAGACATGGGCATACTCAAATCAGATATTTCTGATTTCTAAAGATTATATAAGAATCTACCTAAACGAATAATAATTTGTGCATTTCCTTTATATTTATAAATAGTGTCTCATAATTTGTACCACTTTTGGTTTAATTTAAACACGTTTCGTTGCGTTCTGCAAAATTGATGAAAATGTTACATATTAATACACAATACTTTGCTTTACACGAAATGCACTCTAATGCAAGCACTATATTAGGTCTACCGGAAAGTTCTGTCCGATAATGTCATTGCAAATTTCGATAGATATGCACATATTCATTTGAGACATATATTTTTGGCAAATGTTGCTCACAAATTGCCATCACGCCGTCATAAGTAACGACGGAAATTATATTGTACAATATAAATATTATTAAATTTATGAAAAATCTATTATTTCTCAAACGGACAGAACTTTCCGGCAGACCCAATACATTATATATATATAGCTTTTTATACTAATAATATCTTAAACGTCCTTATAATTTTATCCGCCACTGTGGAATCAACGCGAACAGCATCGGATTGCGTTCCATCGGTCCAAAGCTGATGCAGCGACTTATCAATTCGCCTTGCTACCTATGAAGCCTCACGTGGTCGGTCGATAACGTTCCCCGGTACACCAATTAGACGAAACCGCAATGTAGTCTTTTTATCGGTTCCCGAGGAAGTTCGTAATAGTGCGGTCGGCCTGGTATCTTCACCTAAAATTATCTCAGTGTCGCGTTAAAAGACTTTGGCGGACCAGCAGACATCGTTATGCAATAGAAATGTGCTTCCTGCTCGGTGGAAAAAGTAGCGGGCATTCCTGCTGCGATCAATTCCGTAATCTGCGGATCAAGGACTGTCGGAGTTCGCCATATTTGTCGAGTGGAATTAGTAACTTCGTCACTTGCTATTTTTTCTAACACCTGCGGATTTCTTGCTTGCGCTTTTACCGAGGAAAATGTGCAACAGTCGAACGCGGTAAATTCTCGCTAATTTTTCTTCAGCTTGTAAACAAAAATGGACAATTTGGGAAAAGAAGACATTATTCGAGCCTCGCGGTTCATTTTTACAATTGTTCACAATCGGCAACTGTAAAAATGAGCCGCGAGGCTCGAATAATCGTATCTCCTCTTCCCAAACTGTCCACTTTTGTTTACAAGCTGAAGCAAAAATTGGGAGAATTTACTATAACCGGATCACCGAGTGCCGGATAATCGGTTGCCGGATATTCGGAACTCTGCCCTATATCGAACAAATAACTCACGAACGTGTCTTTACAACCTAAACGATCGTAAATTAAAAATCAGTGAAAAAACCGTTGTCTCGACGGGTTCCGTAAACCCTAGTATTAAATCCCTGCCATCGTAAATCGACGAAGTCTCTCGTCGGCAATGACAAGCTAAACAATGGAGACAAAGCCGTCCGGGTAGGGAAAAACGGCCCAAAATTCCCTTTTCCTTCCCTTTCCCTCCGCGGGCGATTTTCGTTCGACGATCGCTGCGAACAACATAGTCGCCCAGCGCCTTACCTGCGGAATTCTGGTTAAGCCGGGGATTATCGTGCGAAGTCGGCGCGAGATATGGCTGAACAGGTGATTTCCGGGTATTCCCGGTTGCGCCGACGCGATTGTTTCTCGGAATGGAAATCGCCGGGACCCGCGAGCGACGTGAGAGAATTCTTGCTGCCGCCAAGTGCACAACCATGGGAATTTCGTCTGTTAAAGGAACCGCGGAATTTCAGCGACATTCCCGCGTTCGTCCCGCGCGGGGGGAAGGGGAGAAAAAACCGTTCGCGGTTTTTCTCCGGCCACCGGAAATCGACCGGGTTGCGCAACATCCTGCGAATTGTTTATCAGGCGATATCGCGCGCGCGCAGGGGAAAGTCGATTAATTCGCGAGCGTATCCCGGAGATGAGATCCGAGAGAAGCTCGAGAGACGATCGCTCTCGGCCGTACTTTCCTCGTAACTGGAACGTATTAGTTATACCGCTGGATACTCCGCGGACGATGTTTAATTAATGAGAACGCCGGGGCCGCTTCCACGGGAACGGAAAATCGCGATTCGAGGCTTCGAGTGCTTTCGATCGATCGGGTGCCGCGGAATTCTGACAGGATACCGCGTTTTTGTAGTTCGAGGAGTATCGTGGCTGGTTGCCGATCGTTTTGTTCGTGTTTTGTGTGTCACGCATTCACGCGTTCGTTACCGACGACACATAGGGTAGTAGCGCGGCCGGTTATTGTGTGGCGAATAATTGCTGCGCTCTTGGCTCGCGATTCGGGAATAATTAATTTCATGTTTATGGAATAAGATGTATCAGATATTTTTGCTCTTTTATTATCGTTCGTTTTTCGATGCAAAAGTTTAACCTACTTTATGCGATAACAATATTTTTACTGAAAAATAAACGAAATAGAAGAATACAAAACATTTAATACGTCTTATTCGATCAATATAAAATTAATTATCAGTAAAGTTATTAGTTAAAATTCATGGAAATTAATTCGTTCGAGCGATTGTCAATTTTATCGCGTTGGTGCGAATGAATTATTACGTTGGCAAAGAATGATCGTAAGTATGTAAAAGTCACAGTACGTAGCTGAATAATCAGAGAGAAACCGTTGTTTAAATTCTTTTATGGACGGCTGGAAAGATTGAAGGTGTGGATATCGGAATGGATCAGGTAGTTCCGGAAAGGTATCCACCTGCTGGCGAGCACTAAAAGTAGCCGTTACACTTTTAACATTTCACAAGCAAGTTACGTTGCTTTCAATTTGATATTTCGACAATGAAGAGAGGCAGCAACAAAGCGACGAGGTACCTAAAGTGTGCTAGTGAATATCACCTTGCATAAATTGAAAATAAATCTGGGAACATCAGGTTTCAACACGGACAACTTTGATAAACGTGTTCGGACTTCAAGAATCCTCTTCAGTAAAAAATAGCAACATAGAATCTTGCAATCTTTGTTCCCTGTAGTACTAAGAATCGAGCATTGGGCGAACGAAGATCGAAAAAGTATGGGCATTTTGTGCGCCGAGGTCGCCGTTATTTTCGCCGGATTTTCGATCCCGCTCGGCTGCGTGCGAACCGCGTATCGCGTTGTTTGCCGAGCGGCAGGCCGTGCGACGATAATTTTTTGCTGTTCCACGATTGTTAGCGCATGATTCGCCTGCGCCGCCGGCAATTTATTGTCAATTGCGTGCACGTCGATAAAACGGGGCCCTTATCGTGACGAGCCGCGTCGTGTCGCGCCGGCTCGAGCGATTCTAGGCCTCTCCGGTCGTCGCGTTGCGCAAACGCCGGTTCCCGCGTCCGCTTGGAAACTCCGCTCGGCCACGCTCGGCACCGCTCAACTCCGCTTGCCACGAACCGAGCCCGCCGAGCGGTTCCCAAGCGCCGTCTTCGAATGGCCACTGGAATTACAGAAATTGCTTCCTTGCTTGACTTGCTGGCGTGACGACCGTGGACCGACTATTCTTGCGACCCTAACAAGCTGACCCCGTTCCGAGGATTGTCAGCGATTGAAAATTGTTAGACGCGCTGCGAAAACACGATACACTATTCTACGGAATCGTAATCGCGTCGATGGGAAGGGAAACGGGTGCAGATGTCTCGGATCACTTATTTTTTATGGAGTATACACGATATAGACAATGTATCCATTCCAGAGTACACCTGTTCCTCGATTTACGCGAATGAAAGGCACAAGCTCAACTTCGTCGCCTGAAATATTTGGAACTTCGATCGTAGTTTTATTGTTAATGTCAATTTTTCGGAGGATTTCTTTTCAATAGTTTGTTGACATTCGCTGCAACATTAAATTTTGGGGAAGTTTGAAAGCTCGTTTAATGCTTGAATCAATATCTACGATGTCTAGAATGTTTACAGTGTCTACAATGTTTACAATATCTACAATGTCTATAATATACAGGGTTCCCCGGAAAGAATCATCCGATTTCAAAAATTTATATTTTAAAAAATTACACAC